TGAATTATATATCAAATCGAGATGGCTTAAAAAGTAAAATACCAAATACCGGTATACCAAACTCCAAGGAAAATTCAAAACGGAAAGTTCTTTATCAAATGTCAAAATCAAAAGCTGAAACACTTCAAACGAATGGAAAACAACTGTCATATTCCCGACTTGGTACAGACATTTCCTTAAGTAGAAAATGGTGGATTAAAGCTGGTTTTATAACTAGACCTCTCACTTGTATGACAGTCATATAGAATTCTATTATATTTACAGCAATGTGTGAGCAAAACAAACAGACATAATAGGTAAAAATGTCAAAAATGGGGTACAGCAGTCAACATTGTGTTATAATCTTAATTTCTATAAAAACAGATAACTATTTCAACAAAGAAAAATAAAATGGCATATAGACTCTATAGATAAAGTACATAAGCAAAAATACAAACATAACCATAGCACAATAACCAAATACCTAGCCACGTCAAGAGAGCCTTTATTTTACTCCTTAAATTGTAAAAACAGAATTTATTCAGTTCCTTAATTTTTTTAAATTGTATAGAACGATATTATCAAGACACTCCAGAAGAGAAATATTAGTTTATCTTAGTTTGAAAAAATATCAAAATGAGCATACTTTGGCAGGGTTTTGTGCCGTGTTTCATTCAACGAACAATTTTTCATACCTTAAAGCAAATATGTAAGACAACATTCAATATGAGGTCATTAGTATTATGAATATCAGAATTATTGATAACTATGTCATACTTTATATTTTCAAATTCAAGTAGCCGAAATAATAGCGTTGTCAATGCCCTCTCCCTTCAAAAAAAATATTTTGCCTGAAACTATCAGGATCCCTCATGTTTTGGCATTTAAGAAAAATTAAAATGTTTTAAGACATGTTTATCAAATGAAAATATATTTACAACCTTTATATTAAATTTAAGATCTTCAATGATACTTTTTGTCATATATATCATTCAAACAACAAACATTAAACTTAGCAATCCTTAGCTCTCATAAAAGATATACGCAATTATTATTAGGTAGCAAGTAATAATAATCGACTAACATCCATTTAATGATTTAAAATTAAAAAAAACTAGGATGGTTCAAACTTGAAACTATTAAATAAATGAATCATATAAGTATAGTTTTACATTTACCTGTCTTTCTGATGGTATTTTCTCCCACAGAGGTCTCTTTGTGAGGAAAGTGTGCAGAGTACAAATGACACTGTCCTGTAACGGATTCATGGTTTGCCGAGTAACAGTTTGCAATACTAGTACATGAGCTAGCACATTCCAAGAAAGTTTTGGCAATCAATGTTCTGATGGAGGAATTGGTTGGCACGATACGTGTATTAGTTTCAATTTCGAATTTCTGTAAGTTAATTTTCATGCTGCTTGTACGGAGTAACATGAATGTGTCCGTTGCTAGAATGCAGTAGATTATTTGATAAAACATTCTAGACAAATGTTATTCTTATCTCTATTTCTTTTGCTTTTTTCAAATTAAGTGTTGAAAATATAAGTGTAGAATACATATATATAAGTGATCCGGCTTTAATTAATTTTATTGAAATTAACTAATTTTCATTGGATAAACCGTATGCTGAAAACTAACTGCTTATTTTTACATATAACTTGCATATGCAGTTATTGCTCAGCCAATAACTATTATAAATCAGTGTAAGATTGTTCAAGAAACACGTGTTGGTGCAATGTGGATGTTTCATTCATTTACTTAATTGGTAACTTAAAATGGAAACAAAAAGTTATACTTTGATATCCTTAGGGATTCTGTGAAGGATTATGTAACATATTGGACAACAAAATAACACTATTCTTACAAGATGAGGTTGTTATATACAAATTAGAATTCTACAAACTTTATTGATATTAATATTAATCCTAAATATATTTTCTAAGACAAAACAAAATGTACAAAACCAGTCTTATTTCCGTGTTGTTTGTACTGACAAAATCTATGTTTTGTGTAGAAATATTAGCTTCTTGATTAAGAATTAGTATTAACAAACTACTGTGAAACATGTTGTAGTAACAGTATAGAATGATTTATTCTCTATTGGATAATTCAAAGTTTGGTTGATCTCTAACAGAATTAAAGAAAGTTGTGACTGGATTCAATAGATGAACTCGTCAAAGATACCAGGTTTTCAATTTTGTCTTCAAAAGACTCATCAGTGACGCTCGAATAAAAAAAGTCAAAAGACCAAATCGAGTACGAAGTGGAAGAACATTGAAGTCCCAACATTTCCGAAGGATTATGATGAAAACTCTGTCATCAATGTCAGATTACCTAAAGTTCTGGTATGGTACATTTATATCTTTGAGTAACCAAAGCAACAAATCATGACGAAATTACAAACAATATTTTGCTGTTAGAATAAAGATCGAATTCATAACTTTAATCAGATTGTATATAATATTTATAGATAATTGTATATAGTATTTATTATTATGTTTCTGATAATGAAAATGTCCATTACTTTGTAAGACTAAGCGAATCTTAATTGACCGCAAACTAAGCATTTGACCAGTTCTGAAACTTCCCATTGAACAAGTCAAATATAAAGCTAAATAATGCACACTGTTCAACCGATTTAAAATTGGTTGAGACCAAAATGACCGAACGAAAAAAAAATATCTAATTGCTAGTGGTAATGAACACAATGTTTAGGTATACAAAAGAAACATTATTCCTAAACACTACTTTATTAAGAATTAAAACGACGTTTATACCAACATTAATACGTGTGATACGGTGTACGTTATTTATAAAGTAATAAGTCCAATAAAAAATATATAAAGCCGACTTAATACCAGTTCATATCGTGTTTCTTTCATTTTCTTTCATTTTTCATCTGTGCGCCTCTCCTTGCCGACCTCTTCTTATTTTCATATGAATCGGAGTTCCTTCAGACACTTGTCAAAAACAAGAAGATCACAGAAGCCAGGGTATTTAATTTCACTTTCAGATATATTGATGATGTTCTTTCCATTAACAATCCGAACTTTTCTGATTGGGTTCCATTAATATATCCACCAGGACTAGAAATTAAAGAAACAACAGACACGGCTTCCTCAGCCTCATTTTTAGACTTATACCTCGAATTTGACATACACAGTCATCTCAGTACCAGAATATATGACAAACGAGACGATTTTAATTTTGAAATTATCAATTTCCCCCACCTTAGTAGCAATATACCAACTTCACCTGCATATGGGATATACATCTCCCAACTTATTCGGTATTCAAGAGCTTGCAGCTCCTACTCAGACTTTGTAAAACGTCACCAGTGTCTGAGCAGAAAGTTGATGAACCAGGGGTATGTCAAAGAACGTCTCGTCCTTTTTCTAAAAAAGTTCATCGGAAGGTACCAAGACCTTGTTGATAAATATTCCGTATCAACTTCACAAATAATACACGATGGTCTTGAAGTATAGATTCTGCGTACTGACGTTGTTTATCATCTTAATAATGTGTTAAGTATTCTTTTATTTGTCTTTATTAATATTACTTTTACTGTTAAGTTTGTTTTTTGAGATATCCATTTGACGTGACTTTGTACTTATGTATCCCGTCATACTTTGAACCACAAAATTATTTTATGTCTACCTGTGCGAATTTCAAACGTGCGATTTTACGCCAGTACTTAAAACCTTCCATCCTTTATGAGTGGATTTTACATAGATAAATAAAATCGTATAATAAAAAAGCAAAATGAGGATGTTAAATTTGATGTATGCCTTTTTGTGCTTCTTCGTTTTTATAGTGATTAAGATGATAACACAATGTTGACTGCTGTTCCCCTATTTTCGACATTTTTACCTATTGTGTCTGTTTGTTTTGTTCACGCATCGTTGTCAATATAATGGAATTTGATGCGACTGTCACACAAGTGAGAGGTTTAGCTAGCTATAAAACCAGGTTCAATCCACCATTTTCTACATAAGAAAATGCCTGTACCAAGTCAGGAATATGACAGTTGTTATTCATTCGTTTGATGTGTTTGAGCTTTTGATTTTGCCATTTGATTAGGGACTTTCCTTATTGAATTTTCCTCGGAGTTCAGTAGGTTTGTGATTTTACTTGTTGCTTAATTTAGATGATTACCTCAATGCAAACTAAGACTTTCGTTGAGGTGACTTGTTTTGATTGACACTGATTTAGACTTTATAACACAATCTGAAGTAAAATAAACAATGACAGGTTGTTATTCCTAAGGTAAAAATCAAAACGACACTTTATAGATTTCATGCGTCCAAGGGGCTTTTCTGGAATTACCTTCACCAGGAAGATGCAAAGTCTAATATTTGAAATCTGAGGATGTATAAATACCGAATCAATTGAAAAGCTATATGACCAAAAAGGATCTAAAAATAATAACCAAATCCATCTAAAGTTAACCTTGCCTGAGAGAGATAAAACCTTAGATTCTTAATAAGTTATTGTATGAACGAACAATTTACGAAAAAATGTTATCAATTATATCAGTACCGAAGTACTGACTACTGAGCTGATGATACCCTCTGGGACGGATATTCCACCTACAGGTGTAAGGAACATGCAATTAATTTAGAAGCTCTTATCCGTTATATCAGTCCAACTAACCTGCTAACAAAACATTTCAGAGATGTGCATGTCTTAGTTAAAAACAATTAGGAAACGATGTTGGTAGTCAAAGCCCTAAAATCAACAAAGACAGCAAAAAACCCGAAAAGTCAATCGTCTATAAAATACAAAAAGAAAACTAAACATTGAGCAACAGAAAACTCATCGAACAAGGGCTAAAGCGTTACGAAAGGTAAAGCATTTTTTTTTTTTTTTTTATATTTGTTGTACCTTTTATATTACTCGTAGCAATTATAAATCCAGCGAAAAATCACTCTCTCGCAAACTAGGTAATACTAATGAACATCAATCTAACGACACATTCAACTAAAATATATTTTAAGGTAAATGTGGTCTTTTAAAAAATGAATGTACATACATAAATGAAAATCTTCCGGAATTTATGAACAATGCAAAAAACAATTCAAAGAATTTTTCGAACTAAAATATGAACAGTAATGGGGGTGAAGGGTAAAGTAAGAATTCCGGCTTGCTTAATTCATGAACATTACAAAACAAAAAACAAATAGAATAATAACAGTTTAACATACTGAAGACTTCTTATATGTTAACTAATTGATCATTTGTTAACAAACTTAATTTGAACGGAAATCAATCTTAACTGAGTAGTGCTTAATCTTGCCACATTCTCTATGAGACTTTCCCTAATCAGGAGTTTGTTATTCAGTTGTTGTATTTTATTTCCATCGGTGTGATTTGAACATCATCAAACTACTGTCAATAGGCTTTTAATCAGCTTTCCGTAACCGCCAAGACTCTTATTCAAAAATGACCTGCGATCTGGGGTTTGGCAGGCGATTTTGAAACCTGACGTCTTATTTAAAAGTACATGTGACCTTCAAATATGATCAAAATCGAAATTCTAATAAATTTAAAACTGTCAAGTTTGCTTTAAAGTGACCTGGTAGCCTGTAGAAACTTAAAACGTGACCTTGTGAACTAAGGGGGACCCCAAGTGAACTCATCAAAGATAAGTATTTAGTAGCTTTTGTGGTTTTGTTAGTGTGTTTGTGCTATGTGCCGATCGAACTAGTCAATTAAGTACTTTCTAACGGATTTTTGCAGTTTGTTCATCTAGATCACTGTCATAGGTAGGGAGAGGGTTGTTCGCTCACGATATGCTAATCCCGCCAAGTCACTATCTGCCTGCCCTGTCAGGAGCTTTTCCGAGAAAATTCGGTAAAAAGGAGCAAATATACGTTGACAGTTGACTGCCGTATTTGTTTCCCAATACTTTTTTTGTCACTAATCCCATTTTGGATTTTTCCACTTGAATGATTTCACATTTCCTCGTCACTTAAATAAAGAGAGATAAGAGTCTTATAAGTTTGTACGCCGGACTCCCATTTCTTCTATATAACACCCGTCAGTGGTGCCCGAATAAAACATGTATTACCAACTACGGCTAAGGAAATTTATGTCTTTGGGTAGATAACCCCTAGTGTTTCGAGCATGTACACATATGCCAACAGTAAAAATAATACCAATAGAATAAGAAGAAATTGTTATCCTCTTACCAACAATGTTCATCTGAGAATTGTCATGATAAATTATAATATCATACATAAAACACCAAACCTGTTTATTTTAGGTTAGGGTATAACTGGATAACTCGTATTGGTATATTTTCTAAAAAGTATTGTTAAGCGTCTACATCAATAAATTTTAAAACATCTGATTGCCATTCAGAAACCTAATATATCTGACAAATGTAGGAATATTCGGTGTTACCCGAAGATGCCTCCATCAGTCTTGTTGTTCCATCCGTACGTAAATAATTCCCTATATCCGGTTCCCCTGGACTCCAGTTGAAATATGTTAATGCATTGCCTGCATCATCTAAAAAAGGTGAAAACACGTCGACTCGTTCACCTTGAAAATAAATACGAGGGATTCCATTTGAATCTGTAATGAAAAAGATATAAATAATCGATAATTTAAAAAATCGATGTCAGAAATATGGTAAATTTACGTAGACATGTATCCATATTAAAAAGATTAAAATAACGTTAATTTTGGTTTCTTCTAATTACCACAAGGTCTCTTTAATACTACAATAGTAATAATTGTTGTTTTGCTCTAATCTGTAGTTTGGTGTCTATTATATCGTGTTTATGCAAATAAGTGATTTTTTTCTGAACTGGAAGTTGCATTGATGCATCACTATGTCATCTCACTCATCAATATTGAAAGAGGGAGGTTTATAACTAAAAAATAATTTAATCAGACATCTCGTGTTAAAGAGAGGCGAAAGTAACCAAAGGGATATTTAAACATAAGTCAAAAATAAACTGGCTATGCCATGAACAAAAAACGAAAAACTACCAAAAGACAACAACACATCACAAAGCACGACACAGAAAAATAAAGAAACAACACAACACAAACCCCACCTATAACTGGGGGTGATTCCAGGTGCTCTGGAAGGGTAAACCCGTCGTGTTGCTCATGTAAGTACAAACCCGCTGATAAGTCTAATTCGGACGTCACAAACAAGAAAGAGAGGACGAAATTGTTGTTACGACAATTGGAATATATCCGTCGTTATATGGGAAACAGATATTCCATAACGTTCAACCATCTCGTGATGACGTCCGTAAAATTTTCGAAGGGATAATTTCAACTTCACCACTTGGAACTCTTGGGTCAATAGCTTCCTTGTAAGAAGCAACCTTCTGCCAAGGAGATCATGATAGGAAATGCAAGTTATGGAATATCGTATCAATAAACTCATCATAGATAGCTGGTCTAAATCAACCGAGAGATATATACTTCATATGCAGTCGCTCTTTTCAGTATTTATCTTCATCAGGAATGCTCAAAGACAAATTTTTGAAAGCCAAGGGTGCAACGAACCGAAACAGTCGAAGATCTCTGACCGAAAAGGACCTAAAAATAGCAAAATCCATCTGAGGTCAAATTAACTGCGGAAGTTGAAACCATACTTTCTTAATAATTTTGAGATTTATAAAATGAAAGGTTTGTTATAAATCATGGCAGTACCGAAATATTGACTACTGAACCGATGATATCCTCTTGCACTGATAGTCCACCAGTAGCGGTATCGACTCAGTGCTCTAAAATATTAAAACAACAATTGTTATGCGTTCGTGGCGGTTTGCAAGTCGAAAGACATTTATACGACATTGGATGAAGCCTGATATACAATAAACACTCCTTAATTATTTTGTAAATCGATATGTGAAATAGTACCCATTTGATCCATAGCCCATTGGTACACCTCCGGTGACTCAATCAGTAGGAGATGTGCAGCATCTGAAACACATTCTGCTTTAGCGTATGTATAAAATCTTAAAGTTGCAACAGCTTTGTAACAAATGTTGATGTTTGCGTCATACGTATATCCTGTTGCTGTATTACATAGGACTGAAATAGGATGTAAAAATAGCATATACATGTATTTCACATTGACCATCATTGTTTTTCGATGCAAGATCGTTTTTATAAGGAGAGTGGTAAATTAGTAATTCATTTGCTACATGCTTATCATTTTAGGTATGCTGAGGAATAGTTATCTATTGTGCTTTTGTGTTACAAGATATTAATGCAACGTTCGGGCCTGAAATATATTTTTACTGACAGAATACTTCTTTTGCACTATGCAAAATATAATTTAAGACCAAAAAATAAGATTATAAAAAACTTGATTGTAGATGCTCTTTTTGCTGTGCATGTACTGATTTTGTTTCATGGATGGTTAACCCGTATCCTTTGTTTTCTATTATGTTTATTCGTATAATATGAGTCGGAAAGAACAAAACTTGAACTGGAACCTCTGATTGAAAGTCAATGATAAAATATTACCAGTGTTTATTAAGGAAGCAGTGTTTTACCTAAGTTCAAATCTCATAAATTACAAAAGACAAACAAAAAGGATCAAGACTGGTAGCGTACTTTTCATGCATAGCTGGAAACACTTACCCTGACGACGCACCTTGTCTTGCTTCTTATGACGATCATGTGATTCCCTCAGTGTTTGATTATTACCTTGATTTGTCTCTTCTTAATCGGCAAACTACAGCCTCATTAATAATCAGCAATATGTACCATTTGTTACAATCTTAACTTTAGATTATATTCCGATTTACATGTGTTATTTGCTAGAAATGACATGTATGCGTAGTCATAGTAAAATATGTTAAAAAATCTGTAGCTGGAGTTATCGTATAAATCTGAAGGTAATGACAAAATGATTTTTCCAAACTTTTAATCTAGAATGTAAAATTAAAATTCTTTAAGAAACTCGTGTTTGGCGCATAGAATGCACCTCAAACAAATAGAAGTTTGAAACACCTGGTATCTGGGTTTCACTCTACTTTGACACTTTTATAGATGAAAATGGGGAACAAAATTATAGGCCTGGTGTCTTTAATGAGTTAATTTTTTACGCTTTCGGTTCCGACAGTTTAGGAAATGATTATTTTTTCTATTGTGATTGGACATTGGTTTATTACATTCGTTTTTAGTGTATTTTTATCTGATTATTATACACAGTGATCTGATTTGTCTTAAATGTTATCAAATATTCTTTTCAAATATTAATAATAATAAAAGTGACTTACCTTGAATTGGAGAAGTACTGGTCACATGATTAGTTGGTCCAATTGTTGTTACTTCTGCTGACGAAGTAGACAATAAATTTGTCTGGCTTGTTCCTACGACAAAATGCACTAATATTGAGTAATATGGTGCCAATCAGCATGTCATATTTTTGCAAGTACAATACGATTTACTGCCAGAAACAAAATTCATCAATATAAATACTATAACCTTTAATGATATAGCAACAAATACTTCTTTTTAAATTCATGTAGCTCTGATACCTTCAGTTAGAACGCTATGTTTATTTCCGCCGTCTTGTTTATCTTTCGTCTGTTTGAGTGGAAATATATTTTTACTTGAATCTCTCTAGTGCATTCCAAACTTAAAGGAGAAATTACGGAATGCAATTTTGAAGAAAATGCAATTTTTGTAACTCTTTGTAACTTTAATGTTCTACCTTTCAGGTATATTTATATTAAAAAAAATCATCAAGGATACCTAGAATCTTATAATTAAGTATGCCACACGCGCGTTTCTTTTATATAATACTCATCAGTGGGGCTCGAATAAAAACAGTTGGAAGGCCAAATCATAAAAGAGAATTAAGAGTATTGAAAATAAAAATGACATTTCCCTCCTTTTTTTTAAAATAAAAAAGATAATGCTTCAATGATTTGTTGCTGTCTTTTCTGGGGGAAAAATCATCAATAACTCTCAAACCAAAATTCAAAACAAGAAAAGGATGTATAAATGCTAAAATATTTGAGGAGCAATATGACTTAAACCAAAACATAAATTGAAGAGAAAAATACACCTAAAGTCAACTGTGCCTGAGGGAGTTTGAACCTTAGATTATTAATAATTTCTAAATGTTTCAGAAATAATTTGTTTGGCACTGTTTTTGTAGTAATGTTAGTAATAATTTATGACATCCGTTTGCTCTATTCATCTAAAGTATAATTTACCTGATTAGTATATGCAGAAATTCACAATTAATACAGGGTATTTTCAAACATTTATGATTGTAAAAGTTAAATACCTTCAATTGTAGAAATACTGGTCACCTGATGAGTTGATTCAATTGTTTTTACGTCTACAGATGGAGTAGACAATAACTCTGTCTGGCTTGTTCCTGCAATGATTTCAAACAATTATTGAAATTTAGGCGCAATTTAAAGATACATATTAATTTCACTGATTATTGGTGAAACAGTTTCGTAAGCCTTGACTTGATACATTGAATTCAGAAGTAATAAGAGGGGGAGATTATATACTATTTGAATGATATAAACATATCTATCGTAATTCAAGTGACGAAATAAAGAGTAATAAATGCATGTTGTTGTTCTGTCAAAAGTTCCGACATCTCATTAAACATTGAATATAGACATTTCCTTTTCGAAAACATTTGATACTAAAATAAAACGTTAAATGCTTTGCTGCTGACTCCTTCTGATCCATAGAGGATTAAAAAAAAATCCATAGGGGGTGGGACCGATGGCCGAATCTCCTATGGATTTTACCCACCCTCTATTAATTGGTAGGGGGTCAGAAGTGAACCGTATAACGAATTCATCGCTCACGGGAATTTTCCTGCCAAATTTTGTATAAAAATAATCTATGAAATACAATATTATTTATTGATGACGCCACCATTTATAGTAGACGTGACGTCATACACCCAAAATAAAATCTACTGACCCCATACAGATACATGGGGTCACCACATGTCGACATTAAATCAATCATAACGTCACTTATTTACCTGAGATGCGATAAATCAAGTGATAATATTGTTTATTTTTCACTGCGTGAAAAGGTTTTAAGGGAATAATTACGTACTAGAGATGTCCAGAAGGCATAACTTATATTTTAAAGAAGTAAATGACTCACACACCTTTAATGAACTTTTTCACTGAATACGATTTTAATTGAGATTACATATGATAACGGGATATAATAAAATTGAACAATGTTCGAGTACTCAGTTAGATGCAAATTATCCTAAATATGATTTATTTATAAGATAGATATCAGTTTTCTTTTACAGGGATATATAGAATAATGGCATTTTAGTTTTTGATACTTACTTTATCAGCAAGAATATCAAGCGAGCCCGCTAGGGTGATATGATATTCGAGCTGATGAAATCAGTAGCAAAAAATAAAAATCAATCATTCTTTTTATCGGCAATTTGTCTTAACAAAATGTTTTATTTGTTGAGAATATGAAATAAAATGAATTAGTTAGTAAAACTACCTTTACGCATATGAAACGTTATGATAGTATTTCGGTTGTATGAATGAAGGCGCGTGCAAATCATTGATAAATTGACGCGGATGGACTTGAGCACGTCACGTTGCTGTACTGCTGTATACATGACGTCATTGCCTGAATTTTTTTAGTATCAAGTCCTGTCCATGATCTTAAAAATATTAGGCAGTAAGATCAAAGGGAAAATGAACAAATTGCCGATAAAAGTAGTTATCATATTTATAAAAAGGGGGTAGGCGCAGATTTCAAAAAGATTTTGAATTGTTATAGTTCGAAAATGAAAACAACATTTTATAAATTCCATGCGTCTGAAGCGCTTTTCTGGTTTACCTATATCATGAACGCTTAATATTGAAAAGCCAAGTATGTATAAAAACCCAAATATCAACGTTCTCTAATCGATAGAAAGATACGTAGTTTCTGTTTTCGTCTTTGAAATATAAGATATTGATTTTTCGTTTAACGTGAATTTTGCAAATACTAAGACGTTGGTGAGACGTATAAAGTTAAGGGCATACGATACAGTTCCAGGGGAGGTAATGACGTTGCTAACGTAAAATGTTATTTTTCGCGACGTCAAACTGTGACATATTGGGAAAAGAGGCATTTTTCGACTGTTTTTTCACATTCAGACTGATTTAACTTGAAAACGAGTTCATGGACCCCTCTTTTTAAAAATGACATTTGGCTTGATGTATGAAGATTATTTGTGCCAATTTTTATAAACAAATCACCAATGAAATTTTTTTTAAATAAGATAGATATACAGCAAAACATGCCGTTTTTTGACTAAAATCATGAAAATATGAAAAAATAGATTATTTCCAAAGAAGTGTTACACAAATTCAAAGCACACTTCTGTAGAGAAGATATTACAGAAGTTTTTACAAAAGTCCGCATGCGTTTATCTTTTGAAACAAAAAAGTTAGGTATGTCTTTCCAATGGATATACATTTCAAAGAAACCGAAATTTCCAGTAAATGTCTAAAATTTCGACCCCATTTATCTCAAAGAGTAGCACATGAAGGTCTATTTTTTTATAACATATTTGAATTGACTAGGTGAAAAACAGCTTGTATGCAAACTTTAGTCAAAAATTCACCGTGGGAACAAAAATGTATCGTATGCCCTTAAGAGACAAATTGTCTTGATAGCATTCACATTGTAAATATAAGCCAAAACGTTACTAACACAGTATATTCAAGATACACCTGTCATGGGCTCAAAAATCCGTTTCATACGTTGTTTACTTCATATCTTTATGAATACTGTTTCCTTTATTTAGAATTAATTGTATTTTTGTTTTATATATATGTGTATAAAAGTAAAGTTGAAAAAGTGCAGTCTTAAGATATACATCATCATCCCCGAAAAAGCCGTTTTACAACTTGCAAACAACAATAAACACGAGCATTGATCATTTTATACACGTTTTTTTACTAGAAAATAAAGTCTCCTTTTTTAATTTATAATACTTATCACGGTAAACTTATCATAATAGCGATCTGACGATTTATAGTGTGCATTATCCCAAACATATTTAATAATTCAAACATGCAACTTATGTACAAACAATAGGTATATACATGTACATACAAATAAATGAATTTTTATTTCTTAAGTACATGAAAATTTACTCGTAGTACTTGATTAAGTATTGAGGAATATTCATATTAAATTACTGTCACAGCTGGTTTGTAGGTTCTCTTCGTTGTCCGTTTTAACCATTTAAATTGATGTTCAAATAAAATACAACGGTTGAGATTTACAAAACTATTTGAGTAAAGTGTCAACATTAAGCTGCAAGCAAAATATCGATTCTACCATTGCATACGAATATTCTCCACTCGCGAGCACTTAAATTTCAATTTTAATTCGGCACGGCTCCACGGGCGTTTTAGATATTCAAATTTGTACTGTCAAGAGTGGAGAAATATCGTTTTGCACGAGATCGTACACTTGTTGATACCTCATTTTAAACTATCAAATTTCAGATGACAAAAATCATATGCAAATACCTGATTTGTTTACATTGACAATATTTTAGCCAACAGATCATTGATGTGGCTTTACATACTCCCGTGTACATATTCCACTTAATGATAAAGGTGGCATCAGATCTAACCTGTCATAAAACAAAATGTCCGGAACTGTTCAAGAAAAGTCGATAAAACAGTTCTTTTTGCACTTTTGGGACAGTTTCTAACAGAAGTTATGTCTTTTTTATGTTTTATTCAGTTTTGTTAAATTTTTTTAATTAATTTCTTTTCGTTATGATTTTTTTATTATTTGTTTACGACATGTGAACCAAATTTAATAAATTTGCTAAACCATATATTTGTCAGTGTATAAGATTGTGTAATGTCAAATAAAGGCAACAGTAGTATACCGTTGTTCAAAAGTCATAAATCGATTAAGCGAAAACAAACCCGGTCACAAACCATAACCTAGGAAAACACATCAACTATAAGAGGAAAACAACCTAACAACAGAAACACTGAACTGCAACAAAAACAAACGCCAACATACATAGAAACGGACTATTTGATAACAACTGCCATATTCCTGACTTGGTACAGGAAATTATAAGAAAAAATGGTGGATTGAACCTTGTTTTATGGCTAGCCATACCTTCCGCTTATATTGCAACGTTCAAAATACCGCTAAAATGACAACATTACGTGACAGAAATACAGAACAAATAAACGCCAGAACACTCAGGACAGACAAAATATATAAATAAATAATACAACAGTGCATTACAACATGTAAACCACAGAATATCAACGATCACCTCCCATGAATTTACGGAAGTACACCAGGACACAACAATAGAATGATGAACTGTGCGTCACACCAAAAAACCACAAAAGTGACATATTATTTGTTATGTTTATTCTATCACATGTAAATTTCTAAAAAAAAAAGAATATAAAATTAGGATTGAGTTTGTAGTGGTGTTATTTTATGTATTTTCTAACCATGACAAGAATATTAAAATGGAATTGTGTTTGTAATGGTGTATTTAACTGTATTTTCTAACCATTTCGGTTTTTTTCTTAATCAAAACTGTGTATAAACAAAAAAAAAAAAACAAAAATCCGTGCACATAGTTGCTATAAACTAAAAATCATATAAATGAAATAGCTGAGTAATTATCTTAACTTTTACATACATATAGAAAATAAACATAACACAATATCCAAAAAGATTTACAAAAGAAACATCATTAATAAATACATGAATGTTGGATGTATAAATACCGAGACACGTCGTATAGCAATGCGAATACACACTTCGCAAAACAGTCATATTCGGGAATAGGTCAAGTTCGATACTTAGCAGATCAGACGACGTAGATGATAAACCACAATCTAAGACCTGGTAAAAATGTCGTTATTTAGTTTAGACACAGAAACATCGTATAGATCAACCAATTCGTGATGGTGTCCATAAAATTTACGGAATGTCATTTTTAATCTTTCCTCCTCAAAACTCTGTGGTTATCGTGCATCAGGTAAACTCATGTATAAATTGACTTAACTAGAAAATGATATGTTATCTAACTATTGTTGCTTGAAATTGAAATTGAACTATGATTTAAAGTACAAAACGAAATTTCGGCTAAGAAACGTATTTGTCATCCGTTGAAGAACTTTGGGGGAAGCTTCTTCCTTGTTCCACTCAATCCTCAATGACGTCGCTCCATATAGGAATGTCAACATAAGACATCACGCAGAGCCCTGGGAGACATCAGACATTTATGTCAACTGTAGAGAAAGAGACGAACTTCATATATCCTATTTGATAGCTCAAGGTAAAGATCTTCATGAAAAAAACTAAATCTAAAAAGATTTA